AATGTCCTCCCTCCCTCCCACCCTCCCTCCCCCTCTCACCTCCACCTCTGTCTCACCGATCAGTGACTGTTATTTTTCAGACACAGACTTCGAAGACATCGAAGACAAGGACATGTACAAGTCCATGCTCAAACGCGACGAACGCCGCTTCAAGAACGCCGACCGAGACCATGACGGCATCGCCACTCGTGAGCAGTTCACTGCCTTCCTTCACCCCGAGGAGTACGACTACATGAGGGATGTGGTGGTGCAGGTACGACAAACACACCTTCTGAGAATGAAGACGGTTGTCAAACACGTGGTTGGCCAATAAGAACGTGCAAACTATCTGTGTGTAGGAGACAATTGAAGACATCGATAAGAACGGAGACGGAAAGATCAACCTGGACGAATACCTGGGTCAGTGGACGTGCACGTATGGACACCATCTAGATCTTTCCACTGAGTCAGCCCTAACTCTGTGTGCGTGTGTGTGTGTGTGTGTGTGTTGGTGGTCCACAGGTGACATGTACACACCAGAGAGTGGGGAGAGTGAGCCTGAGTGGGTCCAGACGGAGAAGAAACATTTCATAGAGATCAGAGACGCCAACAAGGTGAAGACCTCTCAGCTGTTTGTCTCCGTCTTCACAGCACCTCCATGAAGACACGGTGTCTCCAACATGTTGTGGCGTCGACCAGTGATGTCAACAGGGACGACATGACGAATGTCTCCCCTAAAACCGTAGCCAGAAATGTCAAAGGAAAAAGGCCAAGAAGTTAGACCAAGGAGGAAACTCTGCTGCCCTCCAGTGGCCCACAGACAACACATTCCAATACCACGTCATATAAAACTTAGTAGTACTTGGATCAAGTCAAACTTGAGGTCAACACTTCCGTTACTGAAGCTCTGTCTTAGCTAATTTTATGCTAAAAATGCTACATACTAGTGAACATGCTAGAAGCTAGTGTGTAGACAACTGTTACTTTTTAAAAACTCAAGCTTACATGATGATATTTATATTAGGAAAAGGGTTTCTAAATGTGTACTTAGCACCACCTACAGGCAACAGCTGACCAAATAATCATTTAACAGACTGATGAAGTGATATAAAAAAAATACGGTTCAAAGTCCAAGTATCAGGAATCAGCTGTCAGTTTGAAGAATGTGACCTTAGACGTGTGTGTGTGTGTGTGATGCAGGATGGCTTTTTAGATGCTGGTGAAGTTGCCAACTGGATTCTGCCTGGTGAGGTTGACCACGCTGACAATGAAGCCAAACATCTGATCCATGAAACAGACACAGACAAGGTAAACAAAAGAGGACAAAAACACCACACTGTTCACAAACAATCAGCCTGGTTCCAAACAGACGGTAAGAAGAAGAACTTTAACAATCCCCTGAGGGAAGATGACTTGTTACAACAGCAGCATCATAAAAAAAAACAGACCTTAGACATTAAAGTTTGAGAAAACAAGTTGAGACAAAGTAGTCCCTCACAGGATTTTACTGTTTCTATTTATTTATTTTTTCTACGGTGTGGTATAACTGTCTTGTCCAGTAGGGGGCAGCCTGGCTTGAATGTATTTTAATGATCCAAATTATTTTGCTCAACGATGTTTTAATTTGTTAATTGTGGGTCAATCATTAATAAGCTTTTCTTTCTTTCTCCTCCTCCTCCTGCTCCTCTCTTTCTGTCAATCACAAACCAATCAACCAATACCAGGATGAGAAAATGACCAAGAAGGAGATTCTAGCCAACTGGAACATGTTTGTGGGCAGCCAGGCCACCAATTACGGCGAAGATTTAACAAGAAGACACGATGAACTTTGACGAGTCTTCACTGTCCAACACACACTCCTCTGGGTTTACTGTTGTTTCTATGGTCTGATGTGGTGAAAGAGGGGGGGTCACTGGGTGGGAGTGGGGGAGAGATAGTAGAGGGGAGGGGTCTGTACACAACTTTACATACAACACATACGCACTATTTTAGTTCAGCATGCAGTCACATACCGTGTATGTGAGCAGAAATCAAACTGAACGCGTCTTTGTTTTATTCACGTGTCTGCCATGTTTTTGTTTTTGTATTTTTACGCTGACTCAGCAGTGCTCTCATTGGTCCGGTCAAAATTGCTTCCTCCTGTGATCGTGGACTGTGGACCCACGGGTGTTCGAACCCCATATGTGGGAGTAAAGATTTGGTCATTCAGCAAACACACTGGAGACACTGAGGTTCTAACGACGGTTCAGTCACAGTGACACGGGTCAGGATTTCAGCATGTGAACATTTACTGACACAACACAGAAACAAAAACAAACAAAAAAAGTAGACAAGACAGAGGAGGCAAGATTAAAGGTCTGTTACTGAGGGGTTTTGTCTTGACCTTTGAATAAAATATAGTTTTTTTTTCTACGACCGTGTTTGTCTGTTAGGGGCTTTGTTAACACTAAGTAGTAAAAAGTGTAAAGAAATCATCCAGACTTGACAGGATCTATCACTGCAGTGAAACAGGGTTTTGACCAAAACCCTGAATCTCTACATGTCCTTTAGTGCAGTGACTCCCAACCACTGGGCTGTGGTATAAATATATTTATTGTGTATAATTTGTCACTGCTCGTCAAAGCATGGCAGCAGATGGCTGATAATTAGATCTGTTGAAGAAGATCTTTGCGAGTGTCTTTCTTCAATTCCTGCCAGTATATGAGTGTTGTCATTTACACTAGAAGATTATTATATTTTTATGAAGGAGTAGAGTAGAAGTGTTAGTTAACACTGGTCAACACTCACCGTCTCGGAGTGGATCAGCTCCTCTGTCACCTCCTGTCAACTCCCTCTGTCCTCTGTCCTCCAAACTTCAGGACGGTCAGCTGTCTCTCTCTGAACTCACGGACAAGATGGACTTCATCAAGAGCAGCACCATCACAGATTACGGCGGCATGAGGGTGGATGAGCACGACGAGCTGTGAAAAGGTGGAGAGGGTTTTTACAGATGGGTGGAGGAGCAGCAGACAAATACATACATAAATATAGAAATATATATGAATTCATACCATCAGGTCAGGTCATCGTTGAAGGTCACGCAGTGATGATCTACAAACACATGGAAAAAAAACTGCCAGACAGAAAAACTACAAAGACAAATAACAGGAATTTTGTGTCTTTTCTTTTTTTATTCAGGTCAATTTGTTTTCCTTGTTTCTGTCTCTGCCTCAAACAAACTGTTCAATAAAAATTGTCAGTTCAAAGTCCATTGAAAATTTGTGATTGATTTTGACACGTTACAAACAGTATGTGAAGCTACGTGTTTCTTTCCAGATTGGTGAAAATAATCAGTAAGTACCTGCTTCTCCATTGCCTGGTTCTGGATCCACTGTTCACGATGATGTCATAGCTTTGACATGTTGGCATGATGCCAGGAAACTGTGAATGAAAATGAACGTCTCCACCATTTTCACACTGACGTTTTTACCTTTTGTAAAAATAACAATATTTTACAGATGTTCCTCTGTTCAGAGAAACAGTCAGTAACGACAGAGTGACATGTTTATATATATATACTGTATTTAAGACAGACCTTTACTTCATAAAAAAGACTAAATATCAATTTATTAAGAATTGAATTGTTAAACTGAAAAAAAATACAGATGAAAAAAGTAAAAAGTCATTGAAGCGATGAAGATGTTTTTCTCTGCAGGTGTGAAGTTTACAGCCTCATCCGTGTGAGGCCACCGCCGGCCCGCCGTCTTTATCTTGGGTCACACTTGCATCACTGGACGAGCTTCTTTGGCTCTGAGAGCAACACCAGATCCAGCAAAACCAGTTCCACCCTGACGGAAACAAAAGAACAGAACAGTACTGAGAACAGAACAAAGAGAAGTGACGGGAACCGTCCTGATCCTGATGACCCTGAGACACACCGTCCACCTCAACACACTCCCCAACACACCCACACTCACCCGCTGCAGTGGTATGATATCTCTGTCGGACAGTTTGTCTCCTGTCATCGGGTCCATCATGTCCTTCTTGATCAACTTCTCCACACACTCCATGGTCACCACGGCCCCCCTGAAAGAGGAGACACAGTGTTTCACCTACAGTCAGACAGTCAGACGTAGAACAGGTCAAATGGCACACGTCTGCACTCACGAGGGTCTCAGCACAGCACAGGGGATGCTGTTGGCCAGGACGTCTCTGGTGACGGCACACACGTACCTGTCCTGGAGACAGAGGACACAGTTAGATCGCACTGAGCTGCATTAGACAGGAAATGAGGGCAGAGGGCAGCAGTGGAGCGGCAGCTAATGTTTGCATGTAGTCATGGTGCACAAACATCTGGTGGAACTTGGGCGCCCTCTACTGCTCTGGGATGGAGTGTTATTTTTTTTTCTAACTTTGTTGATTAAATTGTAGAGACATAGAAGATGGAGGGATAAAAAAAACTCCACTGGAGTCAGGTCTCCAAACTGGAACTTTCTAAAAGAGAGGTAGGAATCAGGAAACAGCGCCCTCTGGCGCCCCTTGTCTAACACGGGTACAAATACTAATACAAATAATTTATAAAAATCCTGGAACAGAAAATGTGTGTGTGCTTTTAAAAGTGAACACTTTGCATGATGGGAAAAACAAGGAGGTGTGGAGACTAACCTGACGGGTGAGTAAAGCCACTCGGGCCAAGCTGGGGTCAACGGGAGTGAAGCGTACGTCGATAAGCTCATTCATCTTGATGGGACGTCCTGACATGGGACACAAGACTGTCTTACTCTGTCAGACCAGAAGGAGGTGGAGGAGGTTAGTGACACAGAAGGAGGACTTCTGTCAAAGTCCATGTGACGACATGGACCGGTGGGTAACACGGAACAGTCTTTGGAATCACTCACTGGTTTCTTCAGCAGCGTGGGTTTGGCCTCTGGGGTCAGAGAGGGAATCCAGAAACTGGGCAGGCTCTGGCTGGATGATGAGGCCGAGGATCCAGACGAGGATTCTGCCGAGCTGCTGGCTGGTTTAGCCACCTCACTGCCCTTCTTCTGCCCTGAGACGAAACAACAGGTTTATTCAGCAGAACTGCAAAAAACAGCCGTGACGTCACCGTTCTTTACCACCGTAGGATCTTTTATCCAAATACGACTTTGTCAATCTACACAGGTGTGTACTACTGCATGTGCACAGCCATGTGCTCAGGTGTGTCATGGTGAATAGATACCTGAAACAAAGGGGTTGATAGGTTTGGAGACGATGCTGTTCTCCATGGTCTTGAACCTCTGCACCGTCTCTCTCTCCCCAGACTTGGACTCCAGGTTGCTGGTGCTCTTCTGTTCTTTCTTCTGCTTCTCATACAGCTGTAGAGGAACAAAACATCGAGCAAAGACAGTCACTTCAAGTATTCCATTCATTCTGTGCAGTATTGTAACAATTACAGAGTATAGAAAAAAAATATTTGAAATCAACTGATTATTTACTCATTACAGTGATTCTAACTCAACAGCCGTATTTAAGAAGACAATTTCATCAGTCCCTCTTAAACAACACCTGCACAGTTGTGTGGACGCAAGCGATGTGAAGACACGTGTCCATGTTTTACCTTCATTTTCTTGGCAATCTCTGTCTTCTGGTGAAGAATGTACTCAAGGATGGCCTGTTTGTCATACATGTATCCATCTGGCCTGGAGATCACACAGAAACACGACAGACGATGTTCAGTTACATGACAAATGTTAGTGGCGGATTGTTTTTCTACTGCGTTACTGTGCGAGGAACCAACGTTATGACAGGATCCTGACAGGGCTGAAGAGACAGACAGCAGCAGTCGAAGTCTTTGATCGCATCTTTGCCCAGTCGAATGCTCTGTGTCCCATAACCAGACGCAGCTGTGCAGAGAAAGAAAAAAAAAAACACGGTGAACAATGTAATTCAACGTTACTGCAACAGCTGACATTCTCCAGAAAACATTTAACATCAAATGACTGAGTTACTGGCACCTTTAATATGTCAGAAATATGACGAAAATACAATACTGTTTGATTTTTACATGATACATTAAATTTATCTTATAGATTCCAGAATAAATATGGACTGTACTAAATAAATACTTTAATGATGTCTGTACATGAACAAAGTTGTAAGTCTAAATTTGAAGAGGCGTTTTTTAAAATATGGATGGAAATATTTCGCAATGAATAAGATAACCTCAAGACTATATGGCTGTAATTTCTATAAATGTCACCATTATTTAATTAACATTTAAATAAAGAGATGACTTGGTGAGAGTTGCGGACATTTTTACTCACCGGTGTCCTTTTTCTTCTCGTGGTAGGTGTAAACCGCTCCGGCCGTGCAGTTCTTTCCGTGACGGGTCATTTTTTAGACCTTTTTCTGTTTTAATCAAACTGTGATGCAGAGAAAATAAGACGCTGTGTACGATTTTGTGGAACTGAGCAACAATGCTAATGAAAACAATCGGGTTTACATATTTAACAGCTTACATTTAATAACAAACCACGGACGTTTACCCCGGAAAAGACTGGGAAAAAATATTATAAATAGAAAACAAACAAATAATTATCAAAATTACCTGAAGGCCTAAATATCAGGGAAAGTCTTTATACCACAGTTATTTACGTTCTTCTTGTTTTCCTTCTAAAGAGCTTCCGGTTATTCCTTCTCCTTCTACCGTGTTGCTGCCGGTGTAAATCACAAACTTGATCGCTTTACTACCATCTAGCGGAATTAAATTTAAACGGCGCGATACCATGGTACAATAAAAGAGCAAACGCGACCACAATATCAAACGACTACGTTTACTTCCTTTTCTTATACAACTGCTATTGTTTATTACACTATTGCTATTTAAAATACATTTAATTCCGATGTTAAGTTTAGACGGGAAATGGCTTTGTTCTACGTGTGTTTGCAGTATTAGTAAATCATGGTTGTTTTATATATATATTTATGAAACCTTTACATATATACATAGTAAACAAATGCGTACATCCATATACACATATGTATAGTACTGTACAACTACATAAGACTTAAATAGTATTTAAGTATAAATATAACTATGCAGATGTAAGCGCAATTCTGCCCTCTGCTGGCTGAGAATAGACGCAGTCTGGTGTTTCTTGAATTTCTTCATTACTAGTTCGTCACCGCACAATGCTGACAAACAACTTTGACTTAAGTCAAGTTGTAAATCATGCCAACAGTGTAAAATTTACTCGAGCAAGAGGGGGGAAAACCAAAAGAACAACAAGAGAGGAAAAAACACAGCGTTTCATATTTTCTTGCACAAGATCAGTTTTTCTGTAATCTTTCCAGTTGCTGAAGTTATCAGGAGGGAAACTTGATGGTAGAGTGTTTGTTTTCTTGAAATCAATCAGTCGATTTTTATCTAATCTTTTCTCATCAAGGGTTCATCAGTTATTATACACAGAACGATTTAACAATAGGTTTTTAACTGTGAGGAAAATTAAAAGTACCTTTAACCGTCTGTTCTGCATCACTTTACTGTGTGTCACTCCTTCACATGAACCCAGACAGCATTAGAGTCAAGCGGGCTATCTGATGGGAGTCATTTTCTGGAATGATAAAAGTAGCGTAGTGCAGGTTATAAACACACTTTGTAAATGAGTTCCATGAACAAACAGAGTTTCCTTCACATGTCTTGTTTATTTCTCTGTCAGAACAGCAGCATTTCCTGCCTATGTGACTGTGGATTTCCTGTCAGATGGCTACACCCATCACACAAACCCTCCAATTAGCACATGCACATACTGATAGGTTTTTGACCATAAAGTAAATACAATCACTGGGGGGAAAAAACATAATGTGAAAAAAAAAAAAGTAACCCAAAAATATTTTCCGTTACTGACCGAACCTAAACATCAAAGCTGCAGCAAAACAAAATCACAGACAAGGTCATTATTTTAATCGAGTGGTTTTCAAAAATGTACCTCTGAAAACACCCATCTCTCCCAGTATCACCAGTATGAGATTTTCAAGGCAACCATGTTAACCAGTACACTATGGAACCAACTGACATAAAGTTCCCATACCGGGAGTTGAACCCGGGCCGCCTGGGTGAAAACCAGGAATCCTAACCGCTAGACCATATGGGACTAGTACTGCAACTGGTACTTTAATTTAATTTCAAACTCCACTTAAACTCCAGTCAAAAGCACACACCAAACTGGTTAGATTAGATTATAGATTGTATTAACTAGTTCAACTAAATTATGTTTTGTTCTTTCATATAAACAACAAAAATATAAAAATATTTTTGACAGACACTGAAGTCTCCTGACCTTTTGAAAAGAGATGCCCCGGCCAATGGAATTGCCCCAATCTGATGCCAATTTAGTGGCATCAGATTTGGGGCAATTCCATACTAAATTGTAACCACTGGACTTTAATGGAGTTACACACATTAACAGTAACATTCCCTCATGTGTGTACCCACGTCCTGACCATATAAGGGCGTGCCGACGACCTTTTCGATATAGATAGGAATTTAATGTCTCTTATAAACAACCCCCCGACCCCCCCATGGACACCCCACCCTGCAGATATCTGATGCATTTTCCTTTATCTGTTTCTGTGTAAACAGAAGCTCAGAACCATCGTCCCATCAGTGCCCTGCCCTCCAGCACCAGTTCCCGTCCTAACTTTAGAGCTATTAAAGCACAGGACTGGGACGGTACCAAAACCTCTGCCTGTTTCAGGAGGTCATGTTGAGCTACAGTATTTCTGGTGCTGGTGATGCAAATAGATTTAAAAAAAAAAAATCACAAAATGATAATGAAAGAACACACAACAGTCGAAACACAACAAAGGCCAGACATGAGGTCTTGACCCGTCACTGAACTTCACATTTCTGCCTGGAGCCATCAAAACTGTGCATGTCTTTATCTTTTCCTCTCTAATTACCCCACCTCCCCCTCACCCCTCACCCTCCTCCACCGCCTGTGGTCTCTTGGTGTTTGTTGTTCGTTTCCTGTCACAGAGGAAGTGCCTCACCCTGCTGCCTGGCTCCTTATTGGCTCTGGCTTTGATCAACACTGATTATTAGACGGCGGGATCGGCACATGGACCGGCAGACGAGGACAAGACACAGGGACAGACGCAAGAGAGTCGGAGACAAAGAAGGATCTGAGACCCAATCTTTGAGGCTCTGAGCTGCAGGAGGTGAGAACTGAAACCCACTCTGGTGACTGTCATTTTGTCCCATCACTGCAGGACAGTTTTTTTTCTTTTCTTTGTAACTTTTGTACACACGGTAATCAGTTTTTAGCTTTGTCTCCTTCTTGGTCTGGTCACTCCCAATCCTTGTACCAGTGTCTTCCATCACAGTGACGCTGGACAGGTTTGGGGGGACTGTGCCAAGGTCAGCAGCCGACTTCTTTTTCACCCTTTTTTGTTGGATTGTTTTCTAACAATAACTGGGACACACTGGCAGCAGACACCGACAGTCTGGGTCTGGACGGATGTTCATCTTTGTTGATTTTACAAACTTTAAAATTCTTTTTTTGCAATCGGCATTGGACTTGAAGTGCATGTCAGATTTGTGGCTAAAATCTCACTGCGTTTTTTTCTGACAGACTGACGTGAGTAAAACCAACCTGCTGTGACAGGAAATCTGTTCTTGGTGCATGTCTTGTCAACATGGAGTCTGCGACATCACTGCTACACTTCACTCTGATTGGCCACTAAATCACTCACTTTTACAGCAGGTCTTAAAAGAATTTAAGATTCAGAAATTTAAGAAAAAAAAGGGGAAACTTAATATATAGATAAAAATGGGATTTGAACCTTACCCTGTTCCTGTTCTTTGTGATGAACCAGTGCGAGAAACGACGTTTATTTTTAAACATGACTAAACTCCATGTCCACGAAGGACTAGAGTGAATGAGTCCAGTCTAGTGTCCAGCAGTTGTTTTTTCTAATGTCCATTAATTCCTCTGTGTATGTTTAGGGATGTGATCTAATGTCCATTCCTCTGTGTATGTTTAGGGATGTGACCCAGTTAATAGGCTGTTCCAGTTTTCTGTTGTTGTTATTCTGTTTTAATTCATCTATTGTGTCTTTCAATTCTCCATGTTTGTTTCCTGTTTACAGCACTTTGTTCAACTGTGTTGTTGTTGTTGTTTTTTAAATACTTTTCAAATAAAGTTGAGTTCAGAAAAACTGAACTATTAACACGACAGAACTCTTTTATTTTTTCTCTTTGTTTCTGACTATGTTTGATGTCAGTTTCAGTTATACAGTTTTATGTTTAGTCTTTTAAATCCATATACGTATATATGTACTATATATATGTAACGTATATTTATTACAAGGTGTAATAAATTACTCTATAATGATCATAGAAGAATTCCAATATTTACAGTTACCTGTTGTAGGAACTGGAACTGATCTTGTCTAAGAACGTTTTTGTAGTAGACGTCACATCGTCGTGTGTGGCCCCCCTTGTTACCGTAAGTAACAGAATACAGTATACAGTACCGTAATTCACATAACCATTTCAACTACTACACTTGGAGGACTGGAGTTTTACACTAGTGCTGATGAATAAATGTGAATAAATAAATAAATAAATACTGTGTATTTATCCTATTATGACTTTCGACGTGTGAATGCAGATGTGCGGTTACTCTGTGTTCTTTCAGTTGCCCCCAGGGGGAGAAATAAAGTTTTTTGAATCGGAAGTAATTACAAAGTAATGACTTAATTATTTTCTTTACTTTTAAAAAGACAACAGGTAGTGACTGAAGCTAAACCGGGATTTAAAAGTAGAAATGTATTAGATGTAGATTTCTCTCTCTCACACACACACACAGACAGACACACACCCCCACAGGCAGCTCCGCCCACCGTCCGAAGACAGTGAACAGAGAAAGAGACAAGGAAAACACCTTTCTTCTGGTCTTTAAAGAGACATCAGGCAAAAAAGTTGAGTTCTAAGTGTTCCGGGTCAGTCCGGACTTACCGTGTGACTCGGTACTCGGAGAGGTCTTTGCCGGGTCGACTCCTCCTCCCCCGCTCCTCTCTACAAACAGATATCAAGGTAAGAATGTTTTCTTGTGCACTGTGTAAATACAGTGAACACCGAAACTCAGGTTCGGTTGCTGTGAGTGTGTGACGGTATGTGTTTGTGTTCGCGCGCGCGTCGCTGGGATTCACGCTTGTATTTCCAGGACTCAGAAGTTCTTCCCGGTACCCGGTGTCTCCTCACTCCCTCTTCATTGGTTTTATTCATTTAATTTCGCCTCCGTTCGTCATCGTGTAGATACATGATGAAAGTTCACAGATCGGATTTAATGAATGAAACGCTGCAGTACCTAGGTCCGCCTGTAGGCGCCCGTCTGACCGGGTTGTTGTTGACTCTTAGTTATTTTAATTTCCTGGTGGCGTTTGTGTTTTTAAAAAAGAAAGTTTAGGCCTGAGGTCAGAGTTTGGGACGACGGAGGGGGGGGCGGGGGGTACACCCCAAGGAAATCCCCACTCCTACAATGGCCCCTGCATTTGACCAGCGGCGGGGGGAGGAGGGGGGGGTCTAGAAGAATATTTGAGGGGGAGTTTGGGCAGGATTTTTCAGTTGACGCAACATATGGCAGATTCTAACAATCTCTGGGCTGTTGATGTTACAGTCACTACAGCAAGATAATGTATGAATATATACAGTATATATTGTTTCACAAAGACTGGGTCGCAAGAGTTTGTTTTTTTTTTGGGTCGTTTCACATCCTGTTTTCCAGGAGTTTGCGAATAATGTCTATTGATTTGAGTTGCGGAGGTTTGTGACATTTAAAATATGGGTCCCCAGGAAATACTGCTATACTGTATATATATATATATATATATATTAATATATATATATATACACTCTACTATTACTACTTTATAGGAGACAATAACCTTTATTGATTTAGTTCAGTGGTCAGGCACAGGCCAGTGGTTTCTGCAGTAAAGTAATAGCATAGCAACAAATTATAACAACAGTTGCATCAACTTAAATGTTAAGTTTATGCTGTGATGAAATTTGATTGATTTTAGCAAATAGGCCTCAAAATATTTGACATATTTTTAGGTCCTGATACTTTCCATCATCTGTGGAGTCAAATCCACCTGTAGTGACTCATTAAACACCATGAAAAGCGAAAGTAAAAGCTACTGTATAAACACAATGAACCTCATTTTCCTACCTTGACAAACTGGAAATTCATTTTAAACATTTATTTATAGATGCAGTGAATGTGGGAACAGGAGACTCTTCTGCAGTGACATGCGCAGTGGCTGCAGATTTGAATCTAAACTAGTGAACACGCGTAGAAGAAAAAAAAGTGACTGGTTGAGTTCTTCACTCCTGCACAGTTGCAGATTGACATTCCTGTACGACTGTGTCGTTCAATGGTTGCCCTTAAATTCACAATACACAATGTGAGATGTAACAAACGTCAACCCTCGCAGGTCAGCGATGTCTGGAGGCCTACACTCCTCTGTCTCCACCACCTCCCTGATGGAGGTCAGAACTGAGACTCACCTCGTCCTCAAAGCTTTCCTCAATCGGACTTTGACCATTCCTGCAGAGGAGAGGCCCGGCAGAGTCGGAGGTGCTTACAGAGACCACAGCAAATTCAGGTAACAGCAGGGTCCGACAACGACAAAAACACACCTCAGTTAAACACAACAGCTTTACAACGACAACAACACACCTCAGTTAAACACAACAGCTTATTTGAACCTGCTTTTTTGTTGTTGTTTGTTTTTTAAATGCTCGGTGACATCAGCTCCAAGCCTCGACTAAGACCGAAGGAGGCTCCGTGTTCCGCAGCGGAAGACGTCAGTTCAGCAGATGAGAAGAAGACCAGCTTCAAAGGCTTGATACGACAGCTGCCTCGACGCTACAGCAAACACCGCTCTCCCAAAGACTCGCTGGACAGGGAGCACAAGGTAGAGGGGGGGGTCACATGACCCCACAGTATTTTATTCATCTGAGATGAGCGGTGTGAAGCAGCAGGATGAATAAACACTAGGTAACTAGACACCAGGTGTTATTAGTTACAGTAAAGTTACTAGAAAAGTGACAATTAACACGTTACCTAAACTGAAGAGTAATTCAACTTAACCAAACTTAACATTTGACATTTCTGAATAGCTATATATCTAGGTTTAGTTTTACTTTATTTAGCTAATTATTACCATACTTTATTTTAATCTCACTTTTATATTTTTTCTGTTTTATTTGTTGCAGTTGTCAAATGTTGTCGTTATCATAGGTTTGAAAGTTAAACTGAGATACAAAAATCTCAAATATAGAAATGATTGAATTATTCTTCTGATTTAAATGGAATGCATTTCAGTAAATCATCAAATTATTATTAATGACCGTTTTAGTAGTTAATGTGTGTTTAGATAATAGATGATTTAGATGATCTGTGGTTGACGACGCTGAAATTAGAATTCTGAAATTCTGTTGGTGAGAAACAAACAAAAAAAAGACAAAACCCATTACACAACTAACCCCCCCTCCCCCCACCTCACCCTACAGGACATGTCTCCCTCCTCTACATCAGAAGACGAGGATGTGGAGAAGAAACAGCAGAAGAAACAGAAACACAGGAAAATTAGAAAAAAGCTCTCAAAGCTCTTCAGGATAAGAATAGAGAAAGAGAAGGACAAAGACGAGGACGGCGGCGGCGATGCTAAAAGACCCACGTCTCCCGTCAAAGAGCCAGCAGAGGGCGTCTCTTCCAGTAAGCTCCTCCTTTACAATACTGTTTCCCAGGGTTGACTACAACTCCTGGTTACACAAAGAAAGATGTAAAAAGAAAAAAGAAAAGTTTCAGAAGCCAAACCAAAAACTTACATGTCCTTCACAAGCAAAGACTTAACTCAACTCTGTCCCCGACGGTCACGTGATCTCGTGCTGATTGTTTTTGTTTTCTTAGACCATCCTCCTGGGTTCTACGATGATGTGGCCGAGAAGCTGGACAAGATCGCTCAGAGGTCCACCAGTATAAAGAAACCCAGGCCCACGATCCAGGTTTCACCAGGTACGACCTTAAACACACGTTTACAGGCGTGAAAAACACACACACGTCACGAACAAAAAATAATAAGTTCACTCATACCTGCTGGAAACAAACTATCAGTGAAGCTCGATGTCTGATAACTAGAATAGAAGTCAGTGCAGATGTTTACCTTAATGCAAGTGCACATACAGATGTACTAGATCAAGTACATGTATGAGTATTTCAAAGGTATTTCCACCTATAAATTCAGAGTATCTGTTTCTTTCTTTTTTTCTTCCAGTCCGTGAAAATGTGGGTGACAAAGATGCTGTGATCCAGCAGCTGGCTCAGCTGCTCTCCATGGAAGGAGACCTCATCAACACTAAGGTAGAGAGACTGTCAGACAGGTCCAGACCCCTGTCCAAGTACACGTTGTACTCCGTGTATCTGGACACCTGTGACACGTGTTTTCACAGATCCAGTCTGATCCCTTCCTGCGCTCCACCTTCGCTCGTCTCTCTTACGGATCGTTTGCCAAACTCCTGGACACCTGCAGCAGCTCTCAGGTTTCTCTGGCCCCGGTGCTGCCCCCTGCACGCAGTCCAACGCTACAACGCCTGGCTGTCACTATGGAGGTGTCACGCCGTATAGTGACGGCCACGGGGGCAGTACGCATGCAGGGCTACGCAGAGTGCTACATGGAGAACTTTGCTCCTTGGGTCAAGAGTCATGGAGGATGGGTGAGTGGGGACTATTGTACTGTGAAAAAAAAATTAAAAACTGAAAAACATTCAGCAGAAGGAACTGCCATAACACTGTTTAAAAAAAAAGTTAAAAACTGAAAAACATTCAGCAGAAGAAGAAAAAAAGGAAGCTAACCAATAAACATAACATTTAAGTGACACAGACAGAATTTAACAATCTCACAGCTCTTTTTTCTGTTTATTTTAGGAGAATGTAGAGCTTGAAGAATTTGATTGAGCTCACAGAGTCTTCAGGACCAGTGATTCCAGAATCCTCCTTGGCTCACGCTGTTTATGGGATTGATTCTCAAAGACTGGGTTGCGATATCTTGTGAGTCGCATATTGCCCCCTACTGGGTCTATTTGACACTGGTCTCTAGCTAGAAACTCAAGTCTCTTGAAGGTAAAACAAAGACAAAGAGTGAAGCGAAAACCTTTTTTTAAAGTTTTTAAATATGTTTTAAATTATTCTTTTGATTATTCTGTAAAAAGATCCTGACAGCTTATAATCTGTTTACAGTAAAAGAAAAAAAAAATACAATGCGAGACAGAGCAGATGAAGGATGAGTAAAAACACTGGAGCCAAACCAGTTGTTTAACACTATGATGTCCTTTTAAAACTGGTCGGTCACTATATACTACTGACAAAAATGAATGGTAAAAGTAGGTGTTTTTTATTTAAGTTTTTTTTAAATGTTTGCTGCTATTGTCTTTTTTAATTTTTTATAAATACACTTCATTTTTTGTGCCTATTTAAACAGTCAATTTGTCGAAAAAGTCAAAATGTTTTTGTAAACAGATGAGTGACAAAACAAAATAATTAATGGATTTTAATATTATATAAGATGAATTTTTGAAGTTTTCTGTGTTTTACTCAGGTACGATGAACATGGCACCAGAATCACGACTGTATAAATTAAATTTTATAGTTTACTGAACTCATGTTATATTTACTGTGACTGTTTACTGTGACTGTCAGTCAAAGTACTCTCTCAGAGCAGCTGCCTTGGAATCAACGTCAGAACAGGATGGAATAGAAAAGGAATAAAATGAATTCAAAACTTGTGTTAAAAGTTTACACCAGGTTTCCTGAATGCATCACCTTTAACCTCAGGTGACCGCATCCCTCCATATGTTGCTCCATCTGCCAATATACATACATGGGTGTCAAATATCTGATTGTGTATGTGACAGCGACAAACCTCTATCTTTGCAGTAAGAAGGTCACCCGTTCCATCCCTTCACTCTACACTGACCTTAGGTGTGAATGTGAGCGTGAATGGTTGATTTTTTTTATCCCTCCATATGTTGCTCCATCTGCCAATATACATACATGGGTGTCAAATACCTGATTGTGAATGTGAGCGTGAATGGTTGATTTTTTTTTCTATATGTGACCGTGCCAGAGTGGTAAACTCACCCATTGACTACTGGGGTTGACCTGTGACCTTTTAAAGGAGTCCAGACGCCTGACTTGCACTGTGTAAACAGGATACAGAAGATAAGTTATTCAGGGATGTTCTCAATGTCTTTGAAATCATGTGTATTTCTCTGTGAAATACATATATATATATATTAAGGTCATTTCTGTATTAAAGTATTTTATTTAAATGTATTTGCTGATGCTTTGTGTAAACAAATAAACATAAATCATGGTAACAAAAATATAAACACACGTACAAATATATATGCATATATATTAGGGAAAATGAAAACGCGATAACACAATGCCTAATTCTGTGTGCCTTAAAACAGTTTGTGGGGGACGGCTGTATGTGAAAGTGAAAGCCGCTAGATGGCAGCATTGCTGCTCATTTTATTAATCAATTTTAATAATCGGGGGGTTGTATGCAGGATGCTGGTGTCTGCAACTCGTACAGTGGTTTGTACAAGTAAATAAATAAATAAATATCGGCATATCAGTTGTACATATAGTACACATATGTAGTAAATAAAATCCCTTACCTTAATAGTTGGAAATCACTGAAGTTGTGCAGTGATATTTCCTTCACCGAAACATTTATCTTTAACACTTTAACTGTGGACAACACTTGGTTGTTTAGTTAAATCACTTTAGTTAGAGACAAGATCATCACATACACATCAAGTCTTCCTAGAGTTCCTGTTCCTACCCTAGACACATGGTCGATTCCTTCTGGAACTATCCATAAAACAGAGGGGGAATGAGGTGGGAAGTATTTGGCAGTTGCTGAGTCTGTGGCCGGAGGAGATAAGAAAAGAAAAACATTACACAAAAATGACAAACTTTGTCCATGTTTGAGTGTTGTATAAAACAATTCATCATTAGATTAAACTGGGGTTTGAAACACAAAAAACCTGTGGGCTGGATTTAATGTTTAGGCAGAATATTTTCAGTTGTGTTCCAGCCGTCGCTTCATACAATCCAACATGACCAGCGCCTGTAGAGATGAGTCACTGATGTACAGTAAATAAGATCATGTTTATACAGGAGAAATGACAACAATTCATTCTGTCAGGTGAGCGTACACCCATAAAAGCATCAGTAAAATGTATTATTATATATATAATTTCAATTTCTGACAATAGAAATAAAAAAAGTTCACCTTCCATAAATCTTACGTAGTTCTAGCCAACAGGAAACGGGTATCAACTTAGTGCCATTATCAAAGTTATTACGCAGACCTTGTCATCAGGAAAATCAAATAATAGTAAATCGATGATTTAATTCCATTTGTTCTGATGTTGGTGTAAATATAAAACAGTTGAAGGTGCAGTAAGAAAAAAAAAAAAGCAGAACAAGTCTCTTCTGTCTTTGAATTTTTTTTTTTTTTTTTTTTTAAACGAAATTTTGTTCCCATCAGGTTATGTTATAGAGGAAGTGAACTGAATATGTTTTGGCTCGAGGCTGATGAATGTTCCAGAAGTCATGAAATGTCAATGCTGCACTTTTAGGTGTTGTTAAGGTCACAGGTGAAATGTGGACGTCGTCTGCTGTGTCTCCGACCGTGTCGGCGTGAGACCCAGACGTGGCTGGAGTTCAGATGCTTCAATCAGGGAGTGAGATCAGACCAGTACAGCTCAGTAAACAACCGTCAGTCCAATCGCTTCTCTGCACAATGGATCTGACAGTACATCAGCATGGAGAAGACCAGGGCCAAGATCTGATTTAAGAAGAAGAAGAAGAAGGTCAGTTTTCAAAAAGTGTGTTTGTTTGGATGTTAAATGCAAAGAGTTAAAATGAATGAGTGAAATCTGTAGCACAGATACCTGCACCACACCGATACAGGCTCCAAACACCAGGACTGAGGGGATGTTGGTGAGCAGCCACTGCCTGGCCTTTTGGTAGCAGGGCTGCAGGGAACGGAGACGAAGAGGTCACATTGTGACATCGATGACATTGATTAAATGTTTATTTAAAAAAAAAAAAAATCACAAGACACACTCCACATCTCTGCAGTTAGAAAACAACAAAGGTTTTCAACACTTGATTTGCTGTGCATGGGTGTCAGCTGAGCAGCAAACAAACCTCACTCCACCCGTCCAGGCACTGGTCCATCCCCACAGAGCAGCAGGATGAGGGCAGCGTTCCATTCAGAACATCATACCAGTCTGTCTTGTTAGTCACTCCACAGCATTTGAACTGGAAGGAATAAAGAGTGAAGAAGAAGAAGAAGAAGAGTTTAGGGTTGAATAATATTCTCTGGCTGTGCTGCCTGCTGTAAAAAGTCATTCCACTGTTTGGCGACTGTTTTTTCACTCTGTGTGTCGTTTCCCCTGAATGCTCACCATTTTCTGGACGTTGTCCCAGGATTTCTTCAGTCCAGGTTCTGATTTATAAACCTTCATTCCTTCTCTCAAGTCATCCTGGGCTTTGGAGTCCAGCTACAATCACAGATCAAAGAGGGAGGGCAGTTATCCATCAGCTTTTAGAACCACGGGTTCTTATCATCCACTGTGAGGTCATCACCGCACAGTGGCTGCGCAGATGTAGACTTTAAAGTTCAAATGACTGCGAGGCTGTAATTAAGCCACGTGTGTTTACACCACGGAAGGAAACGAAGCTGAAATTAACTCAGTGTCGGTCGTGTTGACAACTAGAAACCTTTCTGCTTCCACAGCAACAGATTATTTTCTCCATTAGGATGAGTTTTCATGCAGAGGATACTGGCATCATAAATGGACATTTCATTAGGTGTAATAGTGGTTTTATTCAGCAGCCAATCACACAGCTTGATGAATATACGTATATATAAAGACATGATTGACACGACCTGCTGAAGCTCAATCCGAGCATCAGACTGGATGTGCGGATGTAAATCATGAGACAGCAAACATTTGAACATGTAAAACTGGAGGTGAACTCACCTTGTCATGGAAGATGTGTATAACCACGACTAACGTCACCTCAGTCAGAACCAGGAGCAGCAGGATCACGAAGAACTGCAGAGAAGAGTAATGGTCACCTTTAGGGACTTGATGATACAATAAAATACAGACATTCTTCTGTTTCAACACCTGAAGGTCCCTGTTTTTTTGCCGATGCAACCCTGTGTAGTCGGACATTATTGTGATAATACATTTGGACAAATCTTTTTTTGTGTCCTTTCTTGCAGCCCAGTTTTCTGTATGAAGGTGTGAGTTAAAAATGTTTGTGCTGACATCTCACCATGAATAGCAGGCAGCGTTGCTCCTTCAATGCTCCGAGACAGCCCAGGAAACCCGTGACCATGGTAATGCCACCAGCCACCAGCAGCAGATTGGCTGCCGACAAAGACGGGAAGGACAAGGGAAGAGAGGAAAACTCCGCCTGGGTGAAGGACAGCCAGACTCCGACTCCAAACAGGCCACATCCTCCTAGCTGTTCGGGCAGAGTAACGTCACACCAGTGTCAAAAGGTCACTACAAACGTGTACAACATGATACACCGTCAGCGGTGATTCATTCAAATACTTACCCAGAAGATGAGGTTGAAGACAAACATCAAATATTTGACGCAGCACAAACATCTCTGAGACACGGACATACTGTAAAAGAAAAAAAAGAAAAGAAACGGGGAGTACGGGTGCAACTATAATCAAAGACTTTGTTGCGTGGCCAATATAATGATCCACAGAATCATTCATTCAACCTTCCCTTTTATTCACGGTCTGTTCACCAATAAAATGACCCACAGAATCATTCAAATCTCTGCAGGATTGATGTAGGTGGTCAGGGGAACAGGAAGCAGAACCTTCCCTTTTATTCACGGTCTGTTCATTAGAGTTAAATGTGAACCGTGTGTTGTAGACAACAATCTCTAGGTTTGTTTTTGTTTGTCAGAAGTGGGTTGGAGTTAAATGTGAACCGTGTGTGGTAGACAACAATCTCTAGATTTGTTTTTGTTTGTCAGAAGTGGGTTGGTCAGTGAAGATAAAAAAAAAACAACCCCAAAACGATTTCCTTTTCTGTCCGACACTCTGGACATGTACAACCTGCGTAAAAATGAGTTTGTACTTTAGTTGGGGTTTCTTTTTGTATTTGTCGCTGACTGAATGGCCCCAAAACTGACTACTGACATTACACAGGAAGTCTAACTGCTGACAGGAAGGAAGTTCCCTTCCCTCCTCAGCAAACCTAATTATACTCCTGTAGGTATTTCCCATGATCACAGCAAACCTGTGAGGTGCAGCTGAGAGTCAACGTGTGTGAAGAACACAGAGGAGGTGAGGACAGATGAGGAGCGGTCTGGGAGACAACAAGGATCAGCAACGACAATGAATTAAAGGAGTAGTTCGTTTAATAAGAGACACTGAACCCACTGTTTTATGAAGCATATTTTTTTAATCTTCACATTGACAGTGTTGTATATACTAACAATAATTATACACTGTGTTGTATTACTTGGGTATATTAATTTTTCTACTGTATTATTTAAATCTACTTCTCTAAAAAAATGGTCTGGTGACTTTATTCTTTTCATCATTTGTCTGTGTGTTTTCCCACTGGTGAAAAATGTTCATGTCACCTGCTGGTTTCTGGTGACACTGATGTGCTGTGGGTTCACACAGAGCCAAGCTTCCACTGTGGCTCTGTACTACGTATAAATCACAAATGTTTGATGTTGGATGTTCAACATCAAACATTTCAAGCTGTCAGTTTTATCACATGCAGGCTGATAAAAATGATGAGCTGGTAAAAAAAAAAACTTGCACCGACGTCACCATTTGCTGCACAAATGCCAAGACTGCAGAAATATATTTTTCCACAAGTGTTTCTACAGTATTTTTTGTGCAAATTTAAAACATTAACACTGACAAAAAAAGAGGTCCTTTAAAGAGGTACTTTTTCAAGTCCCCTCAGCTCTAGGGTCAGAGTTCACTCTTCTCTCAGTGGAGAAATTAAAACAATTAAACAATTAATTACTGTCAAACAGGTCTAAGGGATCTTAAACAACTATGGTGCAAACATATTTACCTGAAGTCCAATCAGTTTTTCAGAACTTTTCTCTGGAATTTCCCTGCTCTGATATTTGCTGAGTTTTCTTTTCAGCTTTCCGTTGTCCTCTGGTTTGGTTTCTGAAGCAGCACAGTCTTTTACCAAGGCTGGCTTTTCTTCTTCTTCCTCTGTATTAGTTTCTACTTGCAGATCGAGGTTGGAGCCATCATAGACTGGAACACTGGCTTTTTTTCCAGAGTTTCCTTTTTGTTTTCTCTCTTTTGTGTTGAGTAGACGTCTCTCTCGCTCTCTCTTTTTCTCCCTCCTCTTCTCAATTATTTCCAGATGCGTGTGTTGTTAGCTGAACTCTCGTGTTCCTCCTCCTCGTTCCTCCTCCACTCCACAGCTCAGCCCCTAAAGCTGGGCTTGTCTCAGATTTCAGACTCCTTTGTTACAGAAATGTCCTCTTGTTCCTTCCAATGAAATGATCGTCTCCGTGCACAAACACAGGATTTCAAATATTTTAAGACATTCACTGCTTTTCAAGTCTGAAATTGTCGGCACTCAAACATGGCTGTGGAGCACTTTTGTTGGTAGGAACCAGACTGAAATAAAGATGCTCATGCTCCTAGAAATCAGGGCAACAGAAACTGCCTCCAGTTATGTTAACAAATCTGTGGAATCCTGAAATATTAACCAGCAATGTTTTAGAAACATACAGAGGTCAAACCAACCTGCACTGTGTTAACGTTCATCCAGAGATGGCTACGGGTTTTCATAGCAGTTCAGGTTTGTCAAACACTTTTTTTAACAAGTGAAGACAGACAGGCAACGCTATGACAACAAGAGTGTGGAGCAAAGATGGAAGAACGAAGCATGAATGGTGTAGAGTGAAGAACAGAAGGGACCAAGAAAACTGTACTTTAACAAAATTCTGACACCAAGAATAATTTGGAACCATTCTTTATTTTGTCTGTTAACTGGTTTGATAAGCAACACAATTTGGCCAGCACTTAACAAAACCTTCAACTAGCTTGTTCAGACAAGTTTTGATGGAAAAATTTGAGCAGTAAATTTTTTCTTGAAATTCATATTGAAATTCAAAAAATCTATAACATCTAAGCGTCTTCTTTGATAATAGACATCTGTAATGTTGCTTTAGCTCATTTCCTAATTTAGAGAAATATTTAGAATTGTTATCACTTGACACATTTCATTTAACCTTTGTGCCATCGAGTTATTTTTTTATATTGACTGATTCATAACTAATAATTTCTTCTCCTTTCAGTCACTTGCAGAGTAAAACCAGGGTCACGGTAGTCCTCTAGGCTTCCTCATCTTCACCTTCCTCCAGCTCACCCTCGTCCTCAGCAGTGGCGTCCTGGTACTGCTGGTACTCAGACACCAGGTCGTTCATGTTGCTCTCGGCCTCTGTGAACTCCATCTCGTCCATACCCTCACCAGTGTACCAGTGGAGGAAGGCCTTGCGTCGGAACATGGCGGTGAACTGCTCAGAGATGCGTTTGAACAGCTCCTGGATGGCGGTGCTGTTGCCGATGAAGGTAGAAGACATTTTCAGCCCTCGGGGAGGGATGTCACAGACGGCGGTCTTGACGTTGTTGGGGATCCACTCCACGAAGTAGCTGCTGTTTTTGTTCTGTACATTCAGCATCTGTTCATCGACCTCCTTCATGGACATGCGGCCTCTGAAGCTGG